AAATCATTAGCCAAGTAATAAACTACTGAATGATGCAAGTATCGCTTATCGTGTTTTTCTTGTGAAACTAATTGTTGTCGGTTTGTGTGTGGTAAATATAAGATCCTATTTATGTGTCATTTTCTCGGAGATGTGAAACTCGAATATAAAGGGACCGGAAAAAAAAACCATTAAATAACCCACTCGCTGGAAAAACAAAACAACTCCAGCATTCTGGCATTTGAGTCTTCAAAATAGGCGAGGATCTATATTTATACCGTCGATGGTGCTTCTTCCAATGTTAAAAACGTCAGATGAAGTATTGATCGCCTACCTGTCTCTCTGTAAGTTGCAGTGACTTCGCTAACTTTTTCCTTTCTGGTGGTGAAAGATACTTTTGGTTTTCAAACTTCTTTTCCAACTCTACAGTTTGGTCGTTTGAAAAACGGACCTGGCCTCCCTTGCGTTTGTGTAGTGGTCGCTGTATGAACGGATTCCAAATCATTGGTTTGCCTGCCACGACTGCCGGAAACAAGATAAAACAAACAGCGTGAGAAAACAATTACACATATAATAATAATAGACAGGAAATACTGAATGTGTTCGTTGTTAATATTTCGATTAAGACCCTGCATAAAACACTGAATGTGTTGGGGGTAAACTCAATGCTCGCTGATTTGAAAATATTACATACCCTAGCTGTTCGAGCTAAAAACCCATTAAAAGCACACAGTCAAAATGGAAAAAAAAATGTAAATTGTAAATGCTAAATTTCAACTTTTGTTGTAGCTGTAAATCGGGACCGTGTATGTTGATGTTAAATTCATCGATTCAGTCTTCGACAACATTAGTATAAAATACAATACCGCGACATAGGCGGGCCTAAGCTGTTGAAAAAAAAAACACACACACAAAAAGCCACCCGAAGGGCAAACACGTTCCAACAGTGTTCTTTCGAGATAACTTTTATTCATATATTTGGAGAATAAAACTTGCCACTCCCCGTCAACATACAGACACTGTGTATACAACCATTCGGTCACCCACCCAATGGACCGAACCGGTGATCCTTCCTCTGCGTATTGACTTTGACTCGGGTTGCCTTCTCAGACGGTCTGTAGTAGTCACTTTGGGCACCGTCCCGTCCCATCGTGTCGAGGGACGGTATTTCGGTTTTCGAGTCTGCACATTTTACTATGCATTCCATTGTTTCATGACGATTTAAGGGGAAGAGAAACACATAAGACGTCGAATGTCTAAATAAACTTGTAATATTTTACTAGAATTAACCGTAGGGCATCTAATCCACGCGGCCCGTTGTCTCCGTCTACTGTTGACTTATCCTGCAATTGACGCCTGATTCCTAATTTCCGATATTTGGACTACAGCTTTTGGGTTAAAGAAACAATATAGTCGGAGTATGCACACATCTGATGCGGCTGTCCATTAAGTTAACCGGCTTATTCACTAAATCTCGGCTCTTTTATACGACACAGGAACTTGTTCAGAAACTAATAAATTGGCTACACGTAAAATCCACCATGGTGTGGCTCGACGCTAATTGACACGTTTGTGTCGGTAAGCTACCGTTTTCATATTGCCTTTTTTGTTTAGCATCGTTTAAGCGTTAAAATTGATCTTTTGTTGGCTCTAAAAAGGTGAAACACTTTGGTAGGCTGACAAACTGATCGGCCCAAAACGTCTCCATTGTTCCGATTGTTTGATAATTACACCTTATACATGATGGTTTCCCGTCCGTTGATCAAGAAGCCCCGGGGTCAGGATCGATTCCTATCAAAATCGCCGATCTGTTACACGATAGTCCCATGTTCGTAAATTTCCCTGATTTGATCCGTCAATTTTACTTTTATTCTAGGATTCTTTCATTTGCCGATACTACTAATACGGCGTTATACCGAGATACTCGGAAACCTACTCGATTCCTATGAAAGTCGCGTGCAAACCAACACAGAATGTTGCATTCCCTACTACACGTACTTGTGACACACGAGCGCGACATGCGAAACAATTGAAAACAAATGTTTATAGGTGAATTTGTTTAGGAACAAGGACAAAGCTAATATTGATTTGTTTTTTGTTTTTTTCATTAATTTGAAAAACGTAAAAAATGACACGACTTGGTGAACTACTAACTTCGGTTTCTGATGTTTCAATGACTTACTAACAATGGAAATTTGTATTCGCATACTGTTACGTCTATGGCTTACAATTAAAATTATGTTTATCAATTGGTTTATGATTCGGTCTAAAAAATATAGCTAAAAAATAGCTCCAGGATTAGAGCCACAAATAACAAAAATGTTATAAGGCAAAAAATGTATTTGATACCCCAGCTATAAGATGGCAGAAATCATTTTCTAGTTTTCTACGGAAACGAACGTCGTGCATTTTATTATGCACATCACATTTTCTAGGTTGGGATTTTAAAAATAAAGTTGAAGACAATTGTTATCGCTTCTGTGTTATTATTGTATTTGAATTTTGAAAACATATCTGCTTAGAAAATTGCGCATACCACAACCTCGTTGTGTTGAATATAGAGAGAAGCTAATAAGCACGTTCATTGTTCAAATTCGTAATAATTACACCGAGAATTAATTAATAAATCACGGAACTACATTTTACTAACACAATAAGTGGAAGTTGCTGAGTATTGGGCTTCGGTATGCATATCGTGACTAATCATTCCTATGTAACGCCCACAAGATTTCTCCACCGGATTTCCTAACAATGAGAACACGATCAGTTGTTTCCCCTTGATTGGTCTATTTTTGAGCATTTCCCAACGTCGTGCATTTCTTCGATAAGACATCTGGTGGTTATCGTTTTCAGCACATCCATGTATTGCAAATCAATTCAACATAAGTGATATGAGATTCGGATCGAAAAGGAAATCAAATCGCATGCAGTCTTGTGATATACTAGGTGTTTGACATGCGGAGTTTTTTTTGCACTAAGGCTATCACACAGCCGTATGTCAGTATAACTCCTGGTCACCTTTGCTGGGTCCATTTTTTTTGCGCATGTGCAAACACTACGACGGTGAATAAATATGATATTATTGGTGCCATACTGATGGTAATGCCAGTCTAATGGGGACTGAAAGATGTAGCCGGACAAAGAGAGTTGATAAGATTGTCGTGGGTTTCTACGGTAACGTAAAACTTCGGCGGATTTTGGTGTGTCGGCATTTTATTGGCTTCGACCGATCTCGCTGTTATTTTGTTATATGGTTCGGACCTGGTACCCAATCAGGAGATTTGACACTTGACACTGAGCTTAATTTCGGGCGTGAAACGGTATTTAATGATTTTGATTTTGGATTGTTGAATTTCCGGTTTGCTCCATGTATAAACTTGTCGTTGTCCAGCTGTCTATGCTGTTAGTGTACTTGTAGTCTGACAGTAGCCTTCATATTTTGATAAATCGGTTCGGTACTAGATAATAATGAGTGAGTGGCGATAACTGGCCAATTGACGACATATTGACGATACGATTATTGCAATCAATCAATATGCCTAATATGATTGATAACCGATATCAGTTATTATTATAGGCGGCAAATAATATTTTTTTAGACTTTAATTTAAAATATGAGTATAATAATGTGTACTAACCCAGTGCTTCGTGCCGATCCAGAAAACTGTGAGAATAGTGTTGATCTGGGCGACTGTATGGATAATAGAACGGCGAACTGAACGCACTCCCGGCATAACTTATGTGCGCTGCGGGTGCTGATAACGGCAGCGTGCTATGTTCGTAATAAGGGTAGTGTCTATATGTGCTCGCTGCGCCAATGCTTGCTGTAGGGATGGTCGGCGTCGGCCTCGCCGGGCTTGTGTGCGTGTGTCCGAGAATATTTTCGATGTAGAACGGTGTCGTTTGATGGTGTACCGCGGCGGCAGGTGCTGGTTGGTGTTGGATGGCTTGAACGGTGGGTTGCAGTGGCGTGGGAGCGTACACAGCCATGTTAAGTCCGTTGAATCCAGTGGTAGGCACAGCTGATTGGTGATACTGCATAGCAGGTAGCTGCGAAGATACACGAAAATATGAAGGAACAAAATCACCTTCCGTTTGTTCAAGTATATAAATACATATATGAATGCACACAATATATGGGGAGCAGAGCTGATTTTGAGGCTGCTCGGGGGTCTATTGTGTGGATTGAGTGTCTACTGAGCAATTATTAGTACATGAGAGGGGCGGAGCCAGGAAGAACAACATATTTGCATAACTTTCCTAATACGCCACTAATTGAGCGAGGCGCTTGTCGATTGGCCTGTCTAATACTTATTAACTGTACGAATGTTTGACCAGTAAATTCATAGAGGCCGTCCCAAGCCAGTCGATAACTAAACGCAAATAATTGCGATAGATTGATTAAACGTAACTGGAAGAGCTGGTTAAACAGTTGTCACCACTCCCCGCAGAATGCACCCGATGTACCCAGCATAACATCTACAGAACACGGCTACATATATAGTATCATAATTTTAACAGCGTAATATATAATTTGGGTAATTTACTCTATTTTTTCGGAGGTGAATTACTACATTATATTTGTCGTTAGCATCAGCAGGAAGTCAGAGAGTAAATTTAACAGCCGAGTAGACTCACAGTTCGTTCATCGGGTATAATGTGTGTACCTAACTTTTCCTACTTTTCCCTTAACACTGCGCTTTAAATGGCGATTAAAGCAATACAACGCACAGCACGCCTGACCAATAGTCTTTGCTTCCCTAATCAAAACGCCACTTGTTTGTCGATTATTCAACTCCGCGGCGCCAGCCCTCTTCAAGCCGATCTTCTAAGCTTCTCTGTCGTGTCTCTGTTTGTTTTGGAAGGATCCTTTTTTTTTACTTCTAGCGTCATGGTGCATAACACTGTATTCGGAACCGACCACCTTTGCAGGGTATCTATAGTTGTAGCAACATACGTACTTACAATGAAAAGCGTGGATTTTAAATTTTGACCTAACTGCATTTTAACATTTCCGCAACGACTAAGTTAAGTTAACTAAAAATGTCTCTCATGGGAATCATACACAGAAGTTAGTTTTCTCTGTCACAGCAAGTCACATCCCGAAAGTCATGGTCATTGTCTCGCGCGTCGAACGAATCACATTGAGCGAATCAAGTTGTATCCAGAACCGACACATGCAAAAAGCGTTTAGAGTTAGTCTTATCTATCTGAGCCCCCCCCCCCTTTAAGGAAATCTTCAAAAATGACTTGTAGTTGAAGAGCTACTTTGAAGAGAATTGACCCGAGAAAAATATACAGCTAGAAAAACATACTACATAATCCCCAGTAAAGGAATCGCTAGCTGGCGCCAACAGAGGGACTCATAAGTCTGCCCAACCGTAAACCGAATTATTTTAGCACTGCCACGGTATACCAGTATAACCAGCCAGTTATTAAAAACACGTATTGAGAAGACAAGTGAATTTTATTTTATTGTTAACATGTGTGAGCCAGATTGTCGTAATTAAGTCAGTTCATCACCAACTTGTATGGATGTCTATATCCACGGATGCACAATGAACGTCGGCTTATTGACACGATCATCACAGGCTCGATGACTGCGTATGAATAGTAATATAATACCCGTTTGACAAACCTTTTTAAAAAAACCAAATCACCGTGACACCATGCAAGAAGTCGGAGACTTCAAATATAATTTAAGGGTAAGTTTGTCTTAATCCACATGACACCGCCCTACCGTGCACATACACTTCAGTTGCGTACATCACCTACCCGGGGCGGTGCAAGTGACGTAAACCAAATATGACGCCTCGTCAATTAACCGTGTCACGAATGTCACGGGAGACGTCGGTGAACATGGTGATGACATCAATCACAAAACTGTTTATTGTACGTATTAGAGTTGCGTTACAATTATGGTATGTACTATATATATATAGTGTAAGTGGAAATTCAAAACGATCTAGTTGAATCTGTCAATTATTAATCCCCTACCTCCGATACATTCCTATTTGCGTCATTATTGATAATAATAATAAAGGGACTTGAGAGATTCAAGTGCATTGCATCGATTTCTAAACTACACAAGTCTTGGTTTGGCCATAGAGCACCATGAGTTGGCTAAATATCTCCAACGCTAGTGCGACGGGACCAGTTCGCATCTACCACATATGTATGTAGTATATGCTTTGTGTACATGGAGTTACGAAGCGCTAACAGACAACGCTCAGTACCGTTACACCTGACGCCATCACCTGCTAGGCATTCCGCGAAGCATGGCAGGTCGAACACCGGGGGGTGTCGACGGTCAGTGGTCAACACCTAGCGAAGGCCAATAGGGAGTATAATTCATCGTATTCTCCCATTATGCTCCCATTATTTATTGAGGATATGAGGTTCGGGACTGTCAGTTAAAGTCATATTTACTGCCGTAACTGCGCGTTGTCTGGCAATCAATGAAAAGAACGTCGCTATAAACGTTTGTTTATTTGGAAAAATCTCTACCAAATAAGGAAACGATAATGATGACTTTGCGCCAGTTCATGGCAAATTAGAATACACAGTCGGGTTTTTGTATATAAATATACCAAAACAATACGTATTTTCCGCTTTCAAACTTTATATCGTAGCTTTCAATTTCCCCGAGGATCTTCTTTCTAGATTTGTCACCTATTATGCGTTCAACCCGGTCAAAAAGGGATCGTTTTAATACAAACACAACGCAACCTGTAAATTACAGTGAAGCGACCTGTGGCCCGAAAGGCAGAAGACGGACACAGCGCCAAACAGTGTTACGCTTTACTTTACTTTGATGAATAGGTCTAAAGTTTAATTTTTCGAGAAAAAAAATCTTATCTCTATGGATATGTTGTTGAGCGGAAGTGTACTTTGCACTAATTTCTATTTTATTGTTATTTGTTGCCGAGATGCCGCTGTGTTAAGTCGATTGATGGCTATCTTACAGGTGTGACAATTTTCGGCATTTAGAATTTTCTGCATTGCCAGCAAGTCCGCACTGTTGGTGATTGACAGGTGTTAGAAACAATACATTTTGTGTTATATCCTTGCCTGTCCTCGTGACTACATGGCTACATATCTGGTAAAATACGCTGTGTAACATACTACAAGGCCCTAAATCGTCTCGCGTCTGGCGTGTTATATCCATCACCCGACTACATTTATTGCTCTTAGTAGCACTCTCCCGGTTATGAAAACCTGTCCGCTACAAATGTTATTCAACGTTCAACACATAAGATATAATGGTGAATTTTATCCTCCAGGACCACATTTCAACGTTATACAGCAACTTGAATAGAAAATTGATAAAAACTCAAGTTTAGATAATTGTAAAAAAAAAAAAAAAAAAAAAAAAAAAAAAAAAAAAAATCGGGAGCTACCTATACACCAAAAATTATGGTTGTGTGGAGTAAAAATTCAGCGTTCGATTTGTATCACAATCAATACTAGTGATTTAGTATTAAATTTGATTGTAAATTAAGATGAAACATTGTTAATTTAATTACATGATTTTTAAGAATTTTCAGGACAAAATAATGGGCTTCAATGGGTTTCTAGAAGGCGCGTTACCATTCTGATAAGAAGTACATCACAGCCGATCAAAGAAAGCAGTTATTACAATATATATATATATATATATATATATATATATATATATATATATATATATATATATATATATATATATTTACTTTGTGAAAAAAAAATGTAGCCAGAAATCTTCAAGTATATGGTTGCCATGTCTGGAGATGTTACTTTGGAGCCAATGGTCTGATATCGTGTGTTTGACGGTATACGCGTCGATAGGTAAAACAATAGTGCGTTCATTTGAATTTGGGGACGAGTGGAAGAAGTGTACTATTTTAGAGTGTCTTGAAATTATGCCGTATCTTCGCTGCAATATGTGAAAACTCCGAAGTTCCGTTTTCGAGTCCTATCTTTTAAATCGGTGCAATAAGAAAGTTATATTCTGAGTGTTAGATCAAGAACGATGCATTTTATAGACGATGAAATGTGTTTAAATTGTTGTCGCGAGAACACTAATGCCAATATCAACGACGTGGAAAGCTTCCCGGTTCCACATTCGATCGATTACCACTGCCACTTTCATGTTTGAATCGAAATCATCGCGCCCTATACGAGGGTGCGTCAAGTAGAACATAGTCAAGGATATCGGCCGATTTAGTAATCGCTATTGAAGACAGCTAATATATACAAAATACGAAAAATACGAGCATGGCTGGATCTATCAATGCACGCCATTCATTCAACGACCTTTTAATGCGAGTCTGAAAACGTGATATTTTTTGATATAAAGGGGGAGGTCAACAGCTGAGATGTCATCAAGTTGAAAATCTCCTTCACAGAGCGACAAGGACAAACGAAATAATATAGCAGACGCTTTGGACAGACGGGTAGGTATTCTTTATCAATTTAGTTTTTAGCTTAGCGTGCGTGGAGTGGCCACTAATTGTTACTTTAGACAGCTCACTAAACCCGGACTACGAATACTTCAAAACGTCATTGATGTATGTATGTAATGATTGACACCGGGGAATTGAAAAACAAATTCCGAAAATGGTTACAATTGGTTCTAGTCTAGATACGATCACTGTCCACCGCATTGATCGTATCCACAATGTGCGAGTGACATCTAGTCAACCAACGATGTTTCTCTCATCTGACATATCTATGGGTGATAAACACTGCAGTAAGTTTCGATGATTAGTAGGGAAGCCGACATTTAGGTCTTATGACTGAATACATACTGAAACTAAAATAAAACAAAACATGACTTTGTATCGGTCAATAAAAAGTCGACTATTGCGTTCTTCTGACACCTGTTTATTGAAGGATGAAGTGGCGATAACGCCACGGTTCACCACAACGACCACATAATAATCTAAGTTCGGTCCGATTAAATGCTATCCATGACGAAAATCGTTCTGAACATATTTAATTTTCTTGCAGGAACGGGAATCAATATTAAACCGAATGGCTTAAAATGCCGACGGTTTTAATTTGAAAGTTCATTAACTGAATTACAATATTCGCGTG